TATTTGTGTAACCGATAGATGCTCAACTTTTTCAAAAGCTCGAAAATCGAGTTTTTGTTTGATTTTGCCGAGCACTAATTTAAGTTATACCAAAAATTACCTGAAAATTCCTTATTTTATCATTCGTCAATTCTCCTTCCAATACAGATACAGGTACGTATTGATTAAGTTCAGCCAATCGTGGTTGAGTTACTATAGCTCTGGGTTTTCCTATGTCATCTTCATGAAGGAAAAACTAAGCAAAAATGCACGCCATCAATGATCCATGCTAATATTATCACTTGTATAAATATTAGTAATAATCGCGCAAATTCCTAACCTGCGATGATAAATCGGAAATCTTGACTGGCTCAGGATCGTAAAGGGTGACACTTTTAACACCAGCAAGTACGACGTTCTTAGCTATACCATTATTAAAATTTTCACAACACGAATTACGCTTGAAATTATTTAATTCGTGAGACTAACATAAATTAATGAAAAAAAAGGAAACGTACCAATCTCAACACCAAGACCCTTTAAGCCTACAATAAGGACATTAGAACTTCCCATTTTCTTCATAGCATCATGACCAAGGACATAGCTGTTCAAGTAACAACAGATCTTGGTTATTTTTTTGGTTAAATTCGAGCTTTGATTTTACATAAGTTAAAAATGATAAATACAGTTGTCTGGAATAAAGCCCTTCATCGATCGTCTGCTCACTATTTTCAATTTCCATGTTGATTTATAAAAAAAATAGATATACGTAAAACTAGCGAAAGAAAACTAGTTTAAAATCAATGCTACCACTACAGGATTTTAAATATTAAATCCTTAGCAATGATTGGCTCGGAGTACGATAAATTAATACTGCGGTCAATACCCAAAACGATTAAATTCTATCGCAGAAACATTGCGATTGTTGTACGGACTTTTTATTTGGGATTATATAATAGAATTTTTTTTAACCCAAAAATAGAAATAACGTTTGTATTAAATGGGATCTCGTATCCAGGGACTAATCCAGGGTAAGGGTGGTGATTTTCAACGATGATATTTTATCAGAAAATCACCGTCCTTGCTCGTGTACCATCGAGATGATTGTTATCAAAACATCCGTAGTAATAGAAGTTAATATAACTAATTTATATCTATAAAAATAAAACCGGTTCTAAACTCTAATCATATCTTTTTTAATGACTATTTAAAGCAATCGAGACAAGTTTTTAATGATGTGGTTATGGATATTGGAAGAAAATCTTTATCGGCATATCAATATGCTAAACCGGTTTAAACCGGTTTAAACCGGTTTTAACATATGATGAATAAAATCGGTTCTAATTCGAAGCTGAATACCTTATGAACGTTATATCAAAAAATTTTTTAAAGCTATTAATGCAAGTGAAGTCGAAAGAATTGAATCTTCATTCACTGGCATAAATTCAAAAGCCAAAGTGCAGAAGTGTATAAAATAATAATATTGACAAATATAAAACAGTCAAGTTTATTTTTTTTATAAAAAAAAAAAAGAATTATTTATCGCCAATGCCATCTTTTTTAAATTAAAACAGAGATAAATAAACAGTTAAAAGATTACCTAACCTAAAATTTCGCTTTTCAAAAAAATAATCACTTCGATTCACATCACACATCTTGCACCCTGAAAATAATGATAGAACAGGGTGAAACCTGAGTTGCGAAATAGTGAGATCCGCCTTGTAGATCGTGTTAGGGTGAAATCCGCGTTTTATTGTTTTTTACTATAGAAGCGGATTTCACCCTCATGTGATGATCATAGCGGACTTCACTATTTCGCAACTCAGGTTTCATCCTGTCGTATAATGATTGTTTAAAGTAAATGATTTGATATCAAACACGTTTCTGATGCAAATTTCCAAGTTATAGTTGTTAGCTGTTAGGTGAACCCATTCTCGTAAATGCGTTTATATGCATCACAGAACAAGTCATTCTGTGCATTCAGACTAATTCCACATAATACTACGAAAAAGGTTTGTATATATTAAGACGCTGCTGCGGTGATATTAACAAGCGTTCACTAGAAACAAAATCATTTAAGTAACTACGTATAATATAAATTACTTCATTTGACAAAAGCGGGAATTAGATCATTTTACGTATTCTACGTATTCAATGACTAAAGAGTTCATGCACTTATACTACAACATGCATAACCATTGATTGTTACCGTTAAAAAAAATAATAAAATTTATTGATTATATCATATTGAAACAGACGATTTAATTCACAAAATCAAGTTTATAATCGATATATCTGAATATCCGATTATAAACCGATACGATTCCAATCACCAAGTTTAACAAATGGGTTCCAGTAAAGTGCGCGACAAAAATATCCGGAAAAATGTTATATATACTTGCGTATTTAATTTGAAAATGACTAATCTATTATTATCAATGATTTTGGGTTTGAACGACAGTTCTCAAAATGTACTTGTTACTGTAAATGCTGCACTAACGAAAATGAATTTACAAAAAAATATCAATCATTATGTACAGTAGAATCTCAAGAACTGTTGAACCATTTTCAATTATTTTTTGGCCTAAATTAATGCCAACGTTCGAAGCATTACACGTTACTCTGGATATATCGACAATTTTTTTCATTAGTAAAAAAATTCAAAATGTCGATACAGTGAGTTATACCGACATTTTATATTAAAAATTTGAAAAATTTTGAGAAAAAATGTCGGTATAACCAGCGTGACGTGTAAATCCAAAATATCAATAATGGTCTATCCGTTCTTGAGATATCGGAATTATTTGATGATGCATTTATTGCGAGATCGAAAATGAAATAGCAATCTTATAACGTTGATATCTCAAGAATGGCAGAACCTTTTTTGATGATTTTGGGTTTAAATTAATGCTTTGAATCTTAGCATTTATTTAAGCTCTAAATAATTGAAAATGGTTTAGTCCTTCTCGAATACATCGAATTACGTAAAAATTCCGCATATTTTTGTCGCGCACTTTAAAAATTCTCCAACAGCCATTTCGCCATCAATCTACATCTAGCCTATAACTCTCACTTAAATCGGGCCAACGTTGTCTACAAAGCAGTTATCAGCGAAATTGGGTTATATCCTGGTCAAAATCCAAAGAAATAGCGTGGTAGTCTTGCTCATAATTTTCCCCAATAATATATACTTGCGTTTATATTGTAGAATGCATCAATAGAACTTGATTCAATGTTCTTATTCCTTAAGACAGTATTGTCACGTTACTATGTCCAAGCCTCCAAATGCTTGGACGTCCAAGATTGTCCAAGGCATCTCTAAGCTTTA